GATGCATATCTACCCTTTTAGCTGATATCAAGAGAAATTATCTCTTGCAAATAAACACAGTCCTTTGCTTAATGAGGACACTCATTGCAGGCAGAACCAGTAAGGAAACATAGTTGTTCTAAGGCAGTCTATTTTAAAGGGCTAAATCCAACTGTCCTGTTGTTTTGGCCTTTTGTTAAATGTAATAAGTCTTGAAAAACAAAGAACACAACTTTGGAAAGAAGGACCTGACTTCCCCTGGGCCATTCAGTCTAAATTAATTATAGGAAATATTTCTCTGGATTTGCAAAATGAGAAAAAGTAAAATAAACTCTTGTAATCATGACACTCCCAAATGTAGACTGTGTTTGCAGTTTCTGGTTTGAATGCTTTTTAATGCACAGCTGGAAACGTTTGAAAACAGATGAATGAAACAGAAAGAAGGACAAGCCTCACTCTCTCAGATTTCAGAAAATCCATCCATTTTCTAACTGCTTTATTGATTTTGGGATCGCAGTGGAGCTGTGGCTTATCCTAGCAAGGAATGGGTGCAAGGCAGGATACACTCTGGGTGGAACGCTAGTCCTTCACAGAGCAGACAGACACAAACCCGTTCACTCACACCAGGGCCAGTTTTCCCAGAACCAAATTAACCTACCACTCGTGTAGCCCAGAAACAAACACAACTAAAAAAAAGCAATGGAAGATTTTATTTGTTGCTCAGAAATTAAAAATGTTTGTAGCTCTTTAAGTTATTCAGAAACCTTTTAAAGATGGGTAGTACCGGGGCTCCAATACAATATGAATAGAGTTTGCACCTTCGTGATGGAAAGCCAGATGAAAGCAGAGAAGACAAGAGCAGTTAAGGCTGGAAATGCTGATCAAAATCAGGCTAAACCTGCACTTGAACTGAGACTTCAAACAACATAGCACACCGCAGTAGCAGATGGGTGCTATTTGGCGTCTTCAAGTGGCATCACAATAATTGGAATTGCAGAGGTGCTTGAGGGGTATCAGGAGTTCATTTTATTTCAGTGATTAATGAGGTTTTCAGGGTTGGAGTCAGGCCCCTTTGAAGATCATTTTTTTTCTTGTCAGTTCAGTGGAATTAAAGTTATTCCCCCTCACTGGAATCGCTGTGCCCCCCTTCTCTTATGAGTTACATTCTGTTCCTAATTTTATGGATGGGATGCTTCAAATTAATGCACAGCGAGTGTATGGATATCTGAGGGACATATGCTAAACATCATTAGCCCTCGGAACAGATTTCTAGAGAAAATACAGATTCAGTGCAAATATTAGCAGTTCCAATCTGCTGTGTTACAACACAACAAAGAGAAATTACACAAGTTTGAAAACACTGATGAATCTTAATTATTAATCATCCAAGAATCTGAATCTGCTTGACCTGGGGTACACAGTACTCATGTTCAAACATCCTCAAAAACAAAGTAACATTTTAGCGAGGGAATCTGTTATAAGATATTCTATGCAATCAGCACAAATCATTTTCATTCTTGTAAATTAAACCACTATAATAAATAAGGATGTAGTGGCGTGGATATAAGTCTGTGTAATACATTTTGTTCAGTCAACACTCTTTTAACTTTATTGACTATTCATCTGAGTAAGCGATCATTAAGAATATGTGGTTAATTAACTAATTGATGATATACAGTGCCAATATTTATGTTTACAACTCCCAAGGCCTCCAAAGAGTTGTAAATATATGTACTGGCAGCTTGAAAGTTAAATTAGTTAATTTACAATAAGCATAGAGGAGACATCAATGCTAAATAAATAGTTTGACTTACAATAGTTATTACACGTATTAAATCAGCAAATTACCTAAAGTCAGACAGAGTGCCAAACTGTAAGTCTGCAAATTTAGAAAACAATGAATTGAAAGAAATATTTGGGCTCCCTGCTGGAAAGGCTATATGCTTTTACGTAAACCAGGCATTCCTTTCCTTCATTGCAAAGTTGCCATTAAGAACAAATGCTGTGAAGAAGTGAATCTGATAAATATATATTTTCAATTCCTTTCAAGTTACAAATTTCATAATGCTGCTCTGGGCTGCTTAGCTGCAATATGGAAGTATTTACTTGCACTTTTTCTCCCAATAAACAATAATAAAAGCAAACATTGGAGGGTTATGTGTGCAGGAAAGTATACATAATATTAGATTCTGGGGGTTTCATTTGAGTTCCAGACCATTAATCATGTATAAGGCTTTTATACATTAGGTCAGAGCCACTTGAGCAGAGGGTACAACTTTTAATATATCAAGTTGTATTTGTGTGTGTTAATAATGAAGAAAATAAAATGACAGAAAAAGGAAAAAATCTTTTTAGTAGTGATTCATTTCCCCTACTATTTGGCATTTCCATTGACTACAGCTTCCACAGAACTGTCTAACTAGAATCTAAAACTCTCCAGAATTTCTTTTTTTTGCATTTGAAAGCACCAGGAAATGAAAAGATTCTTTTTCTCCCTTTTCTCCTGACATGTATGCTCTTTTCTGATTCTGCTACACTGTTCATTTAACTAGATTATTTTCTAATTACTGACAATTAAGTACCCTGCAGACTGTGTGATGTGAAACCGAAGACTGAAAGAATGTGCCATTGAATAGCTGAGGCTGATTAAGCAGCACAGAAATCTGGAGCCCAATCTCAACTTCAAGGTCGACAATATGGATGGAAGTAATTTCTCTATATCATCTCCAGAGCAGAATTCACATATCTGAGGACTTTCCAGTGCTATTTAGCTGTTTAAAAGCATGCAGTATAAAAGACCTTCAAGTACCAGACTGCAGAAACTGTTGACGTGATCACATTTAGTACACACTGTATGAGTTTGATTCAGGAATAGTTATTTTGAATGTCTCCTGCTGTACGAACTTTTGCCTTCACTATACAGTATGTTGTTAGCTATAAATGGGCAAGATTAAGCTGGTGAGATGAGATCATCGCCAATACGCACAATTTAGATTCAGATCTGCTGGCATTTTGTCTTGTGTTATCATCAGCCATTATGGAGATGACTTTGAAGATTCTATGTCAGTATAAAGACTGACTGATGTTCAGGAGTCCAATAAACATGTTTAAATCTATTCTTTCCTGAGGTCAGATTCGGTTTAATTTGTTTTTAAACAAACTGGGGTGTAGTTGAGAAATATTTGGGGTTTTCACCCTCCCTGTGTTTCCAGGTAACAGTATCAGTAACCGTTCAGTACTGTTACCTATGAAACACTTGGGAGACATTAGACATATGGGAGACGTAAATAATTAGATAAGCTAATTATTAACGGAACTTAAAGAAGGCAAGCCTGAAGTAATGGAGAGCTCAAGCAGAATAAAAACCAGAAGGCAGGAAGTCTCCCGGGGCCTGAGGCTCAGACCACTGCTCTGTAAGTTGCGGGAATCCCTATGAATAACATTTCCATATATAATGGCCAGTGCAGAGTGAACTGTCCAAGGGTGGGACTGTATCCTGCGCAAGCGGGAGAGAGGATTTTCCAGGGAAGGGGCAGGAGATTCTGTTGGTTGACAGGAAAACATGGACTGGCTGGTTTATCTAGCATAGCGGGGCTGACAGAAGGAGATCAGATATGGGATCTGCACACGATCAACATTTTTGCCAACGTATCTTTAATGACTTCCATGATTTATTCTTGCTTTCAGATGCCGTCTTTCCATATGCATAGATTTATTTTTCCCACTGCCTCATGTATATCAAAATAGAAAAGAGCGATCCTGTTAAAGTCTGTTAAATTGTAAATGAGAGTGGAATCAAAATGCGTCTGGGCCGTCTCAATGCACACTTTAATTAAAGAGCCAGATGGATTCTAATTCACTACAGAAATGCTCGTAGTGATATCAATGGTGTAATTTTCTTGTAAATGAAATTCAGTTGGCTGACGGACTAGTAAGGAGAGAACATTGGCTCTCCCCACTTCTCAGGCCCCTGCTGACAATGGTGAGGCCTCTCTGCTGTACTGGTAAATAAAGTGACATAACAATTGCTGCTGACAACTGCTGAGGGATTTTGGTTATTGAAGTTGTTACTCAAAAGCACTTGTGATCTGCGTTTCCCTATCAAGGAGTCTTCAAAGTCTGCCTTGTGAGTTATCTTTTATCTGTTTAACAAGCTCTAGAGGAGAACCAGCATTTTTATTTCTATTAATTTTACAGCTGTAGGCTGTCTATTTAAGGTCAGAACATTTCCAAGGGCAACTTTGCCAGAAAAACATAATGTACTGTAGTCCTGTCCTCAAAGAGGCTGATAGGGAGAGCAGGCTATATGGAATATCAATATTATCAATGTTAGTGCTGACACATTCACCCAAAGCCAAAGTGCATTAATTTTGAATGAGAATCAAGGAGATTTTTTTAGTGTGAGTGAGAGACAGTGTCAAAAAAGCTGAAAATATAGTGCAGGCTTTTCAAGAATAAAATGGATTGTACTGCAAAGTACAGGTACTTTGTCCCACAAACAGCACCTCTGTTATTTGTCCCCGCTGAGTCTACCCGGTGATACTGATTGAGACTGAAACTCTAAACTGGTTGACAATGAAAACACCAGTAGCCAGACGCTACCTATTTTTGCAAAAGACATGAACACAGACAAGGATATAATCAGTTTCATGCAGATGCACCATGTCGAAGTGGATGGTATCCTTGCAGATTTCCTATTTTAACATACTGTACAATAGACTATGCTTACATTTTGCTGAAATTTCTCAAGGTTAGCATCATAACTACCCTCCATGCATCAGCATGACCTCACTTTTTGATTGAACCTTACAGTAGTATTACCATGGTATGCCACAGGACATTTAAACAAGGGCATCATTTGGCTAATCAAGTAATTGAAGAAATTATGGTAGCAGGAAGGTCTTAAATACAAATCTCCAGGTTCACACTCTGTGGGGCTCGAAGTGCAGTGTAGCTGAAGTGAAATGGGAAAGAAATCAGCTGCAAGCAAGGAGAATCAATGATGAGGGAGGCTCTCGAACCTGTTTCTGGATCACAGATGCCATGCTGGTTGCAGGTGCAGGGGATGCAGCGAACAAAGGGACCACCGTTGGGAATCTCACGCTTGTACCCTGGGGTGCAGTCCTCGCAGAACTGCCCCATGTAGCCCTGGGGGCATGTACACTCCTCCACCCAGGGGGCAGATGGAGAGGGGCCCGGGGCAGCTGTTACAAGGGTGACCCCTGAGAGCTGGGCAGTATCTGTTGAAAGGAAAAGCCAACATCAATCAGACACTCAGGCACATAATAGCTACTCGAAGGCGTTTAGTGTCTTTTTCTCTGCTACCGCAAATAATGGCACTGGCTGCGCTGGGGGCTATGGGTGTAATGATCCGAATGGCCAGTACCCTGTGTGTAACTAAAAGTAAAGGTCCAGAATAATAGAACATAAGAGGATCTCATTTTTTAAAGAAAGAAAAATCTGCCCGTTTAGCTCAGCAAAAATATTGGCCTAAATGTGTCAGAGCCCGGTTCCCTATTCTTGTGACTCCACTTTGCTTTTTGTCGGTGGTAGAAAGAAGGATGTTTTACTAAATCCAGCTTTGCGAGAGAAGAAATACAATATGTCTTATGCTATTTTGTACTGTTTCATGTGACAGAAGAATGAATTTAAATGAACCAATTGCTACTTTCAAAAACGGTAAACAGTCTTGGATTAAGAGAATTAATATAAATATATGTCATAAATAATAATACAGGTTCCTTGATTTTGAAAATCTTTCCAAACTTTCAAATGCCTGTTAATTGTTCATTTCTTTTTTTTTTAATTTGCCGATGGGTTTGAATCCATTGACTCGATCATTATTCGTTTTATCTACATTTGTTTATCTGGATTTCCAAACATTTGGCGGCTTCCATCCAGCTTTAATATACCCACAGTATTTTAGTCTCACTTTATTTTTGCCTGCACATCAAACTTTGATTTTTCTACTGGACTTGTTTCCTGAGAAACCTACATCTTTCATCTTTAAAACCTCCTTTTTTAAAAAAATTTCGAGCTCTGTTTGATCTTAAGATTATGTTCCATAAGCATTGCCAAACAAATTGTAGTCCCTAGACAGTCACCACAGAACATGACCACCCTTGAAACTTGTGTAATTTTAGTTTGCTACTCTTAATATTCTTTGATTCACACTGAGGGTATCAATAAACAAAACAAATTGAAAAAAACACATGGCGTGACAGCAGTTTGCATCCACAAGGGGTAATGGGTTTGTAGCTTATGATCACCACATGGTGCGCCCTTGCTCGCGAGTTGAAGGTCAATGGCGAACACCCTTTTTGCAGTGTCATTACAACAGTCTAGACTGGCTTCACACAGAGCATCTAAGCACAGAAACAGTCTCCATAAAGCCAGAAGACATAGAAGGAAATTAAGCTGAATGATCATATGTGCTAATACTTTTTCACAGCGTGACAAAGTGAAGATGTGTTAGTCAATGATAGCCAAGTGAATGTCACACATTTTTAAACAGCTCCAGAGCTCTGAAATCTGCACTGTTACTGCAGATGGGTTTACCCCAGAGACTTCCTTTGCAAAACATCAACAGGAAAAAAAAGTCGAATTTTTAGAAAAACATATCTGCAACTGTATTGATAACCAATAAACCATCTTCAATGCAAACCAAGTTCAGTACTTATGATCAGAACCATCCAATTTCCAAACAATTTACTATAAACACCGCACCAGGATAAAAATTATTTGTACCATATCCAACGGATGCAAAAATATTTAAGTACTGTAGTTTGTCCCATACAATTTTTTTCAAAGAAAGCTAAAAAGTAAAACAGGATTCTCTCTGCTATAAATGTTATCATAGTACTTTAATCTGGGGTTGTAAAAGAGCTACTTTTGATGTTTTCCATCCATCAGATGTGAATGATTTTCAGTCCCTGGCTTGCAAACCACAGCAACAGATAAATCTGCTTCGACTGGCAGCTCTGAGGCCTCTCTGATTATCGCCTCTCTCTCTGCTGACAGTCTGATGATACGACTTGCGTGAATTTGAAAAGGAAATTCAAAAGACTGTGTCATGGTCATTTGGAAAGGGAGTATTATAATCAGTCTGTGGACTTCAGGAGCTGCTGCTGTCTTGCACATTTCCTGTGGATCTGTGATCAAGATGTGTAACAGCAGCCAGCGTGGAGCAGTGCCTACTCATGTGCAGTTGTCACACAGAAAGACTTGTGTTCCTTAGCTATTTAAAGAAAGTAGACACCCACTCCATTACTTTAATAGCCTAGAAGTCACTTTTCTGTTTCATGAGAGCTATTTAATTTATTATTTTTAAAATTGCATACATGCTGTACAGGCTCAGAAGCAGTGATACTCATGAGCATTTAGTTTATAAGTGGTTCTGCAAGGTTGCCCAGGCTTATTCCTTGTGCATTTTCATGTTTTTGCAAAGAATTAAGTATAAATGTGAAGCCAGTCTTTGGAGAAAATTGAAGCTTGCTTCTCTTTTAATGAATCTGACAGTGTGATGGTTACTTATCAGCCAGATGTCTTACTTAACAACATTTACTCTAGAATACCTTCACTTAACAACTATGGATAAACAAAAGGTTTGATTTGCACTGACTCTTCTGTAAAGCTGCTATTTTAAGTGTGATTTATTTAATAACCCAGGTTTCCAAGGTAACCTTGGTGGACTCCACTGGTGTCCCTGAGTGGAACAAAATCACATTTTAAGATTATAAACAACAAATAGATTTGCATTAATTTAGCTCAGGGCTGCCCAGCTCCAGTCCTGCTCTCCTTTAATAGTCAGGTCCTTAAGAGCTGGGAAAATCTGGGTAAACTGCTCCATTTAGGCCAATAATTTGTTCAATTGCCTTGTTAAGAGCTGAACAGGAATTAAAATACACAGACGCAGCACCCCTCCAGATCAAAATAATCATGTTATTAAGCCATTCAAATCACAAATCTAATAAAGTAGAGGCTAACAACAAAGAGAAAAGGAAGCAGCCTTTCCAGAAATATTTAGTTAATATCAATGGGTCCATTTTTATAACTTAAAAGATAAAAAATAAAGGTGGACTGTCAGCACCACTAACGTGAACTACTTACAGTTCTGGCCTCCGGCATTGCTTATTTTAATCGCGGTGAGGTTGGAGAGAAGGTGTCGGAAGTCAGAAGAAGACAAGGAAGGCCGCTGTCTTTCCTCTTTTTCATGGAGCCTGGACAGAAAATTGATAAGATACTGTATCACATTTCGCACCAGACACAGACAACTGGATTTGACAATAAAAGGTTCTGATGCCCTGCAGGATGCAAGCACATGTGCATACAACACACAGAGGATTTTGACACATTATTTCAGAGACTGCATTAGTTATAACAAAAGCAACAACAATAATAATAAGCAAATTACTAATCTGAAAAACAAGCTAATGAAAGTGTTCTTTTGTTAATGAGCAAAGTTCCTTTTAATCACAGTGAGTTGTCAACCGCTGAGTCCCTTTGGAACAGCATTGTCCTTTTTATCAAGCTGCAGGGAAGCCACAGGCCCTTCATTAATGCTTCTCTTTAGCGCTGACAAAGTGAAAAAGAACAGGGGAGAAAAAAATCAAGCAGGTTAAATTTGTGAAGACCAGTTCTCCCGCATAACCACAAAAACTGTCAAGATTTCTTCCTCCATTTTCATAGCTGTTGTCATTTCTTCAAATATTTTGAATTGTTACTTCACGAGCCAGTTCCACTTCCTACTCAATGTCATTTTCTAAAGGGAGGTATTTTCTGTGTGGAGATACAATGTGACCAAACAACTGCAGACATTAGAAAAGAAGGGAAGACATTAATCATGCGGTACCATGTAGGTGTGAAGTAATTGCAGTTTTAAAGATCAGCCAAAACTAGAACACGTTTCCATTAATCATTTGACTAATGAGGGCGGCGTGGTGGCACAATGGACAGCATCGCTGCCTTGTAGCACTGGGGCCCTGGTTCAAGTCCCAGGGTGCTGTTTGTGTGGAGTTCATGTGCCCCAGTTTCCTCCCACCATCCAGACACACTGGTAGGTTAATTAGCTTCTGTAAACAAATTCACCCCAGTGTGAGAGTGAATGTGTGCCTTTGTGTCAGTGTTTGCCCTGTGATGGACTGGTTTCCTGTCCACAGAGTATTTCACCCTGTATCCATTGACTGCCAGGATAGACACCAGCTCACCTGCAACCCTGTATTGGATAAGGCAATTAGAAAATGGATAGACCTAATGATGGCTGAATTCAATCTAATTCAAGGCCTTACATGTCTTTCCTACACTTTAGGAAGTGTGTGCTCAGTGTGTGCACCTTAAATGCATAATGTGAGTAATATCACATCGAGCCACTTAGATCCTTTTTGCAATAGTGAAGCATGCATTTAGGCATAATCTATTCAGTTACATTCATTATATCAGGACTTTCTGTCATTCTTGTGCAAGAGTGAGGCTGGGCAAGTTTAAAACTTTACTACTTTCCTCTCATAGTTACCGTACAAAGTGTTAGAGAATGCTCTAACATGGCACAGTGTCGTATTTCTCATGATTCCCGAGGACTATTAAATAGTAGCAGTTTTACGAGGTTGTTTCCTCACTGTGCTGTATTAAACGACAAAAGGCTGCTGTAATTTATCTTGTAAGAAGCATGAGCGCTGGTGTATGTACAGTATGCTTCTACTATATTTCTGAAGGCAACAGCAGTCCTGGCTAATTTGTTAATATCAGACAGTCTCTAGGATTTAGAGTCACTGGATTTCAAATCCCTTTGTGCAGATGGAGAAGTGGTGGGGCTTGACATCAGACCACAGTCATTGACATCTCATTCAGGACTGTATCAACTGTTCTTGGTAATCTAGTGCCATATCTCCACAGACATACAGTACTGGACTTGATGTCCAATGTATTACAGATGCACACATTGTCTTTAACTCCCTTTTCTTTTTGAAAATGAAAATGAAAACAGAGCAGAGGACAAGCTGTACACAACTCTGTGAGGTCTTTCATATTGTAATGATTCTTATTCATCAGGCCTAATCTGGACTTGAAGATTTACCGGACACACATCTCATTTAAGTACCCAAACATACCTTCTGTGAATTGGAGTGTAGGTGAAAATCTCCACAGCAAAGCTGTCATCACTTGTCTTACCCAAGTACCCGGTACTTATTCAACTATGTGAATGCTTAAGTGTCAGTACTATTACTTAAACTACACTGGTGTTGCAGCTGTAGAAATATAGCAGTTTATGACTGCAGTACAAACACTGCAATAAAAAATAGCAATTACATGTTGTGCATAATACCTAGAATTTTTTTTACATTTGCAAAATGTGTCACAAATCCAGTTCTGCTGAATTAGAATTTAGAATGAGATTAACTGGGGAGCAAAAGTTATAAAATAATACAGAATGTTCTGTATTCTACATTTTACTTGCAAAGTTTATTGATGCGCATAGATTTGCATAGGAAGCAACAGGAATTTCAGTGCCAAAGTGTATGTAAGATCATAAATATATTTTACTTTAATTGTTGGAATTAGAAGTATAACTAATTTATAATTATTAAGTATAATTTATTATGCATTTTACCCTTAGTTGAATGGCAAATTGCTTGAGAACTGATTCAAATGATTCTGTTCTGTACTGGTTGGAAACCATTATCCTACAGAAAAGTGTCAACAGTGTTTCTAGGTAGGAAGCCTTTTCATGTTGCTGTGATGGGAGCACTTGTACTGTATCTATCCTTGCCTGTGGAATCACAGTATGAATCCCCACAGAGTGTCCTAAGAAATCCTTGCACTCAATTTAAAAGTGGCATTGCTGAGCTGAAGAGAAAGATCATAAGATGCAGATGAAGTGTAATGTGACATTATCTTTCTCCAAAGGATAGACTCTGGGCTCCAGATTCAATGAAACAATTATAGCAGCAGTTGTTTGTGTAAAAAAGTGTTCTTTTTCATGCCTGTAAAAATGGGCCTTTCTTTTCCACACATCTCTTTTTGCCCCAAACTCTAATAGTGCTATATAAAGAACATAAAGAAAAATCTGTCTCACTTAAGAAACTGAATTCCTTTTTTTATAAATCATCAGAAATATGACTCAGATCCAAGGCACACGCTTCTTTTTGTCTGATGGCATTTCACTTTAGAAATGTCTTCACACATTGCTTATTAGCAGGGATTTGTGATATATATTTCATGCATAAATGACAGAATCAATCAAACCCACCTTTATATGAACAGAAGAACAATTCTAGTAAGTAAAGAATTTTCAGTCCAAGTGTTTTTGCATCAAATTACCCAGGACATTGTGACAGACCCTATCTTCGATCTAGGGAGCTTATCTGATTTTTTTTTTCAAACTAACAATGCAAGGATCTTCAAAATGCAAACACACCCTTTTTGTACCAAACCAACCATAATTAAAGCCAGATGAGAATATGCACCAACTCCCTTCACCTCTAGAAGCAGATTGACTGCAACTGTAGTTCCTCCATCTACTGGCCTCCCACAACCCAGTGCCAGGTTCTAAGGTGAGGCTATGGTTGCTGATCCTGTACTTTGTCTGTTCCTCCTTGTTGTTTCTCACCCTGGACAGAAACTGGCCAGTGTGCTGACCATGGGATGCCCATTCAGGGTCTTCCAATCACATAGGCCCACCTGTTAATCACATCTAACCCACTCTTGCAAGTAAATGGTGTTCTGCCACTTGTGTGCTACTGTTCGGAGGACTCCTGCTAATGGCTGGCTAATTTCATGACAGGCATAGCATGTCCCAGACTTGAACTGTCTCTGAGCCTAAACTTTAGTTTGAAACTTTAGGGTATTAACTGAGCCACTCGGGAGCCCCTGCAAAGTATATTTGAGCCAATTAGGGCTTATTTTATGAAAGCTATGTTTAACAGCTAGGGAGTGGAAAACATGTGTGTTGCTGTAAGGTCACTTACAATCGAACCTTCATCCCATTCATAGGTTGGAGAATCTGGAATTTCTGGAGCTTGTGCAGGCTGCAGTCAGTATAAAAAGGCAGGGCTAAAAAATGAAGCCTCCTGATAATAAGCTTCTCTTTTTAACCACAGTGGACAACCACACAAATTCTTGATGGGCAGAATAGCTTACCTGAATACAAACGTGCACTGAGGAATCAAGCTCAATTTCTGTCCAGCAACAGGGAAAAGATGTGTGGTGACTTCCATTCCAGAACCCTGGAGAATCACCTTCACCTCCTGTGGCAAGAGCTCCACACTCTCCGCTTGGAAAGTGAAGGAGAGGGGCTGCCCGTAACTCAGCTGTCTGTTCCCCAAAAACATTTCTGAAAAGCCATCACAAGCAATTAGGAGAAACTTGCAGTGCCATTTCATCTTCAGAGCCCATGTGACGCTCTTCTAAACGAGCTCGCCCACAGGCTGAATAATAACATTATTCAGCAACCACTGGATGTATTCCTGGGTGGCATCACAAAAAAGGCATGCAAATGCTTTTCGAGATATAGGAGGTCAAAATTTTTAACATCCTACAGAGATCAGAGTGCATGCATTATTTACTGTGCTGCTCTTTTCTCTAGGCAATTTAATTGCATTAATATGATTTCTGTGCAGGGTGGCACATTACAATAAAATAATGAATATATATATTTATATATTTTATTAAAAAAACATTTGGACTCCACTGTATTTAATTGCTATTGATGCCCTTCAGTACCATTCTAATGGTAAAATACATTAGCCCCTGACTGATTGCCCAGAAGGCTCATAGCCTGAAGTACGAAACAGAAAGTTTCTAATGCTCATTTGTCATCTCCGGTTTGGATCTTCATTTTCTCGCTGATTTTTTATTTGTAAGAAAATTCCTTTTTTGGTGTGATTAACAATAAAACCAGGATCACAAAGGCATTTTTGTGTCATACTTTTTTGTGTAGTTTTGCTGATTTGATAGTTATGCTGGGGTCGGGCATTTCATTGTTATTGTAGGCACACTGAGAAGCTGTGGTATATTTCAAAAAGCAAATTTAATTTTCACAGTTTTAAATCTGCTCCCTATTACTGTAATTTATTTCACTTCTGACATGCTCAATATGGTGCATGTACAATACAAACTCTTGTCTTCCAACAAAACTAGCAGCTGTTTGAAATGTGTTTGGAAACAAATCTACAGGACAAACCATATACTGTACCACTTTGCTGCTAAAACTATAATATTCCAGCAGTGTGATGTGTACTGTTCAATGACACTACCTTTTGCTTTTGGCACCTCAGTAATAACTGCTCATTATTATATTCAGGACCAAAACTGTCTTTATCAAAACATTCTTATCACTTTAAGAAGATAAATACTATCACCATTTTTAGGCTTTTTCTGACTAATGTTTTTGACAAAGAATTATACATCAGACAAATAGGATAAGCTCAAATAAGTCCATCCATCCATTATCAGTAAGCTGCTTATTCCTGGCAAGAGGTGTGGTAACTAATAGCCTATGCCAGAAAAATAGGGCAGAAAGACACACAGTAAGAAGCAGCAATTATCCTACCCAGCATGCCTCTGGGGGCAGGGAGAGGTGTGGTGTGGTGGAGGAAACTAAAGCACCTTGCAGGAACCTGTGTGAACCTGCAGAGAACATGCAAACTCCACACAATCCAACCGAGAACTAAAACAATACCCCCGCAGCACAATGCCTCCCTCAGATAAGAAAAAAACAACCTTGATTAATACATTAATTAAGAAACAAACATCCAATACAATAACATACTATTAAATAAACAATTATAAGTATCTTAATTTGAGTAACTTGTAACAGCAAAAGTAACACATTTCATTGTGACATTTAATATTCCACTATACCTGAAATGAATGTGTATACACATTTAATGTGTGTATGGTGTAATCGATCATTTTTAAATCACCACTCATGACTTATAATCATATGCAATATCACATCCATTTTGAACCTTCTGAAGTACTGTTCAGGAATAGTATTTCAAAACTGAGTGTCTCAATTTTGTCATTTCAAGTGGAAATAGATTAATTCCTCTGTGTCAAATTTGGATGTGTCTTGTGACACCCTAACCCTAGTCCGGCCTCAAATGCACACTTATTAAAGACCATTGTAACAGAATTTTTTAGGTGAATGAAAATTTGCCTCTGGAAACTACATTACTCAATAAGATGAATTTGCAGATGTGTTTGGTTATTTATTGCATAGTTTTATTCTCCTATTTTTGGTTTGAGAAACTTTATTAACTCTGATTAATGGAGGACTTCAGAGACAAATTGCAAAATTGCTCAGTTTTAACCCCAGCTAGGGTTAGGGTTAGCACTCTCAATACTTAGACATTTTTTTTACCTCATGGCTGTATTTGCAGGCCCAAGTAAACTTTAGGAAAGGTCATATCTTTCACTGATATTCATTTTTAATTTTAGGATTAATTTGGCTGCATATATGGTATTGCACAGGTCAGGAATTGTACTTCAAAACTGAGTGAAATTAAGTGTTAAGAAAATGCATTGTATTGGGTAAACTGTCTCAGTTTTGTCATTTCAAGTGGAAAAAAATGAATACCTGGTGTCAAATTTGGATTGGTCTTGCACCCTAGCCTTAGTCAGACCTCAAATGCACACTCATTTAAATACCATTGTAACATAATTTTCCAAGTGAATTAAAATGTTCCTCTAGAAGCTACTGTACATTATTCAATAAAATGAATATACAAATGTGTTTAGTAATGTATTGCATAGTTTTATTATCCTGTTATTGGTTTGAGGAACTTTATTAACTCTCAAAGCACTTAGACGTTTTTAAAGCTCATGGATGGTTACAAAATCCATGTTAGACATTTTCTAACCACTATTTCCAGTACAGAGGAGCGGCAGCCTGTCCTGCCAATGTCACGTGTTCCTTTTTATCTTCATTGTGGTTGGTGGTTTAACCACATCAGATTGCTGCGTAATTTAAGATCTTTGCCCTTCATCATTTGAAGGACCACATACAGAGTTTTTAATGAATGTTTCTACCCACAGGTACATATGGAAGATTTCTTGCTAAAGGGGGTCTTTTATATTTTCATCCTTATGTTCCAGATGACCTGTAGAATGTTGTCTTGTATCTTAAAATGTTACAGTTATTTGGGCATTTCTTTACCCTAAAGGTTGTAGGAGCATGGAACAAACTGTCCGGTCATATCATTAAAGCCAGTGCCCTAGATTCCTTGAGGAAATGGATGGATGAGATTCTTGAATTAATTAGTTACTGATTACCAATTCAGCTAAACAGGCCAAAAGCCCCCCTGTTGTTTACAAACTTTCTTTTGCTCTTAAACTACTGCAAGAGAGCAAGAACTGCAAAAACACCAGTAGCTTCTCATGATTACTACCAATTACTGGGTCTATATTAGGACAACCTGAGCAGAGCAGTTTACTTCAAGGATCTAAAAGAATTTCCTTTGGGGAAACACAGCTTTTTGTAGCTCTGATCCACCTTCTTTACAACTGAACAGTGGAGGCAAAACATTAAGTGGATTCTGTCAGTCATACCAGGATGAATATCCTACAGTAACTCATACAGTAAAGATGTCAGTAATACTTGAACTAATGCTACCAGAAACAGTTTGGGATCGAGTGACATAAGATTGTTTCTCTGCTGGTGGTGAAAAGCAAGGAATGAATTTAAATGTATAGATTAGATATACTATACTCCAATACCCAAAACACAACAGATTAATCTTCTGCAGAGCCCTTTATTGAAATTCAGTGAAAAATCTACAAGTCTTTTGGAAGATGGCATTGATCAGTTTTATCTATTGTAGCTATTGTACAATGCATCTTCTCTAGGATGCCTACAGACAAACACTAGTCTTCTGCTTCCCAAATTATCCATCTGCAGCGAGTCCTTAAATGGTTGGGAAACCTAATGTGGAACTTTATTCAATGTATTGTCTATTTTGAGATGTATCACATAATGTCAGTATCCCTGTAATACCGTTTCTGACAGCAGCACAGATGAGAGATATTTTTATTGATAGATCTTGAATCATTACTTTTCTGTTGACTGGAGCATGAGAACGGATGGCTGCTCTGCTTCCTGCATCATAACAGATTTTAAAATTCAAAGCCAGTGCTGCATTGCGCTCAGATCCTTTTTTATTTTTCCTGCTGCAAAGTGCCTGCTTTTCTGTTTTCTTCTCTCCCTTTTACCACTCAGTCCACAGTTTTGCAGAGAGTGAGAAGAATCGTTTTCGTGCACGTTTGTGATTGATCAGTTTTTTGCCTCTGAGGCTCAGCTTTTTGTTGTAGCTCCTGAAAATCAGCTCTCTCATTGTCTCTTACCAGTGCCTTTTCTTTTCACTGTCCCACCTCACCACCCCCTGAATCCAGCCAGTCCCCAAATCCCCCAATTTGAATTCACTTGGATGACACCATGCCCACATTATCTGAAACCCATCATCATCTGCTTCTCTTAGCCTCATTACCAGCAGCAGAAAAGGCCCTGCAGAAGAGGCACACAGCTACCAGTAGGGGGTGCTGTTAGAAGCCAAAGTAATTAAGCTGAGCCCACTCAACCCCGACCTGGTCACAGCTTGATAAAAAAACACGGCTCACAGTTTGCTCATAATCAATTTCTGGACTACGGGGCCTGAAGTGAGATCAAAACAGTGCCCTTTTAATTAGATAGCCAACTGGGCTTGTAAATCTTACAGCGATTGAATTACAGTAATGACAACATTTGCAAAGGTCTTCCTACAGTTTCTGACCAATAGAAACACAGAGGTAAGTTACAATATTGTAGACCTGGTGAGTCACATTTTGGCAGTTTGCGAAACAAAAAAATAATTAGTTTTGTCGCTAGTTATTTCAAAAAGCTGGAAAGCCTGGAACAGTAAAGGAGGATCAGACTCCATGAAATTTTACTTTCCTTATATTTGCTCCTTATTTATTTTCCTATATATATTTTTTTGACTATTTGAATATTAAAGTGCAAAAAGTAATTCACAGGGAGGCAGCCTTGGAAGGCATGAGTGTGTGGTATTAAGTACTGCCGGCTCATGGCTTTTGGGTCCTGTGGGGGTCCTTCTGTGTGATGTTTGCATGTTCACATGGGGTTTTTCCAGATGCTTGTTTCCTGCTGGGCAGGTTCACTGAAGACTCATTGGCGGACGTACAGTAGGCCTACTTTGCACCCTATTCCACTGGGATGGGTTCGGCTTGCTACATCCCCTGCCAGGAGTAAGCAGTTTTCTAATGGATGACAGACATCCTGGTAATACCATCATATTGGTCCTGTCTCAAAAGCCAATTAAAAATGACTCTTTATTGTGAGAAGATTGAGGGACAAATTAACCCAAAATATAATGGCACACTTCGTTGGTTTAATCCTTAGAAGAGTTGTCTGCAGACAGAAAAGATAGTAAGATAATTAAACACAGTGTTGTGGCAATAGATCTCAGCTGTTTACTATGATGCACACTATGGAAACAGGCACTGGAAAGGAAAGATAAGAAAACACAATAAAATACTTCAAAAGCTGTTTACTTATCATCTCCTTCTTGACAAACTGAACTCTGTGATGGATCGTTCCATAAAAAAACTAGCCCTTAAACACTCTATAGGACTCTGTAGGATACTGAATGGATCTAAACTGTACCCGTTACAAGGAGTTTTTAAGTTTGTACAGTATATGATGCATTACGTTTTTTGTATGTTTTAGCTGGATCATTAGCATTCAAAGTGCTGCATGTGCGCTGCTGTTTAATGGTTGGTTGTCATCAGGTGTCCATCACCTCCAAATCTGAGCTCAATAAGCCTGACTTGCAGGAGTAAAAAGCTCTGCATTTCTTTGACGTTGCTGCTTTTTAAAATTCTGCCTGGCTCCCATCAAGCCTCTCTTATCCTCTCAGAAACAGCTCCTTGAAAACCCTGTCAGGTACAGGCAGCCCTGGTATGAGATCATTCACCTAGTGAGGTGCGTTTCTGTGGAGCAGTGCAGCACACAGCTTTCATCTTACTGCTTCCTGTTATGCATTAAACTCAGCAGAGACCCTCTCATTCACATAAACACTTCAATGCCCTCATGACATCCCTGCATACTTGGGAACATCTCTCTCTGCATCACAGAATGCTGGCAATTTCTGGTATTTGATTGCTTTTAGCCCAACATGTCTCTACAGGTTTTTTTTCCTAGTAATTGTTTTCTATTAATACTGTAGCTCTTATGCTGCATTTGTTTTTTTTTCTAGCATTATCCACAAATTGTAAAAGCTTATTTAAAAAAAAAACTATGCAGCACTGACTCACTCTGGATTTACAGCATAAGTGAATTACTTACAGCAGTTAAGTCCAAAGTCTTAGAACTAACTTGGCTTTCCTTAGGTTGATCTTGTGGACTCAGTATTCTTCACATTGAGCTCTGACTAGTACAAGGCTCACGTAGTGTGGACCCACTTTCTGGGCTCTGTAAAAACTTTCTTTCAATAGCAGTTAAATACTGATTAATATGTATCTTCAGAAATCTTATACGTATGGCTAACCCAAAACATTTAACGGTAGTGGGACAAAATGCATATAATTATGAGCCCTCAATATTGTATTTCAGTAGTTTGTTAGGCTGTATACTACAGTATATGAACATCAGAGTCTGTTAACAGTTTCCACGAGAACAACATGAACAACATTAGCTTTAGTAATTTTTCCATTACTGTAGCTCCATGTGATGTCAGACAGACTGCAGTCTCAGGACATACCCACTCGCGAATGTAAACTGACACCTTGAAGATAATTGCAATGAACTTAGAATCTGTCGTTTTAGAAAACACCTGCTAGGACTATGAAGATTTAAAAAGGAGAATTAGAGGCACAGTGTTTCAGCTGCATACTTCATTTATCAAATCCTGCTATTTGTGATATCATTTATGAGATTTACTCTTTTTTCAGCTCATGCTGTTCCAAATTTTCAAACGAATAGTTTGCCATGTTCATGGAAGCAGACTTGACTTGTTATGCAGTTCTTGTGCACAGTATATGCCATAAGGTTTATTCAGATTCAGACATGGCTACAAAAGCTGTTATATCCTTGTACAAAGAGGACCGTTTCTCTAAAGGATCTCTGGTATTCCTCTTGGTTAAAGGCCATTGGCACACTGGATAACAGAAATTGTGAGGATTAGAGTTTAAAAATAAATATACAGTACATCTTGCTCATAAAGGACTTGAGGCTTGAGTTTTGAACATAAAAGCCTCTGTAAACCTTTATATAGATTAGAAACAAGGAGCAAGTTCCAATTCTGTAACAGAATATACAAGTAATTTACACTGGTTCATACTCTATTAGTTTTTTTCCTCCAGGCAAGGATCATGGATCAAGCTTTTTCTCTCTATTTCAGGTACTTTTCTGGTTTGTGAACATATAAATAGTAACAGTATTCAGTTTAATAATTTAAATGTGCCTAGGCTGCATGTGTGTTATCACAAATACTTAAGAATAGAATAGAAAGAAGGCATGGACAGCATTTACTAGTTTATGTGACTGGCAGACTAAATCTAAGGTAAAGTTGGCTGTTCCTTGACTTTATATAGTTCTTTTTATCCTCAAACTTTCCAAAGAACTTACAGTACATACAGGAGGGACCCCACTTAATCCACCAATGAACTGAGGATGGGACACCCCATCTGTTATCATCGGATCAGTAAGAGGAGTGAGAAATTTCCTCACCAGTTCAGTTAAGTGAGAACCGAAGGTACAGGAGGCTAGTCTGAGCAAGCCCAAGTTGACAGTTAGCAAAGAAACTACCCTTAATCTTACCACCAGTGCCCTGGCATCTTGAAAGACCTATAAAGTAGGATTTCCCATTAACAGCGTCCCCAGTCCCTATACCAATGCTGGTGTGGACATTCTGATCCAAAGGAAAAGTGTTCCTGGTAATTATTCTTCTCTTTTATACCCATTTTACAAAACAGTAGAGAAAAGATAAAATGCTCATTGAAAGCAAAAATGCCTTCCCTCCATTTTTCCATCATTTTTAGTCTTCACGTATCTAATGTCCGTGGTGACAGGAAAAGCAGAGCATCATCCATCGTTCATCGTTCAAATCAGAACTTTTATAGTTTCTTTGCTTGTGATCGTTTATCGTATATGAACTTCTGTGGGGCAAAAAAATCTATATTGTTCACACTGAGATCCAGTTCATTCAGTGGTATCATACTGTATACAGTACACACAAGTCACATTTACTCAAAGCAAACACGGACAGACATCCTCTATTGCAAGACGAACGTGATTTTTATTTGCTACGATTTATCTTGCCCGTTATGACAAGTCAGTCAGAAATCAATGAGAAGATTGAAAATCAAGAAAAGGACAGGGAACCTAATCAAAGGTCTAAAAACGTTCAAAACATGTAGACGGCCAGCCTGGTCTGGCTTTACAAATGGAAATCAGGATAAAATTAGATCCATTCTACAGCTATCCATGCAGTGCTATAAGAGGATTCCTCTCTCACACAGCTTATCACTACAGCAGGACAAGACAGTCCAAAGGATTTTCCTTTTAGCATTTTGCTAATTTTGTATGTCTTGTCAATTGAAGCAATCAATTACATAAGGAGAACCCAGGCAATCTTGCAATCAATTCTGATTAGATTGGTTCAACGGCTTTAGAGAGGGTGTTTGTAATGTTAGTTCCTAGCATTGGGGCTGGCATTTAATTGTAAAGGGAGAGAGGTCAATATCAGTTAAAGCTACAACATAAAAAGTTTAATACGTTTAGGCAGCTTCTTTCCAAGCAAGGACAAAAACTTACCAGGTGCTTTATAGAAGCCAGAGTCTTTCTCACTGTAAGGGAGCAAGTATACCTCACCCTCCTTCCAGATCAAAGAGCTTTCTAGCCCATTTGAAAACTCCCCTATCCAGCCTTCTGTATCTATAAGATTAGAATAAGAATATATCACTAATATTGGTTATAATCACCACAACGGTAAAAACACGGTAAATCTGCATTTGTAAACATTAAATATTTGTAAAGTATTAAATACTTTTAATACATGGCAGCACAAGGAATTAGGTTAGGATTAAGTTATTTTTTTACAATGCAAAATGTTCACTCTGTTTCCCTGCCTGACCGAGCGCAGTGAAGCCTGGATTTGAGCCATCTTCTCCCAGTTACCTCTGTGTGGCTACGGGTCTACAATAGCATCTCTCCAGCACAGGGGATTCGGAGTACGGCTCTGAGTGAGACCTGCTCCACAGACGCATGCTTTCTTCAACAGCTTTCTGTTTTATGTTGTGAAGAAACCATTCCGTTTGATTTAATTGCCAGCTGCATATAACCAGGAAAAGAGGACTGTTTTTGGTTCTCTTTCCTAGTGTAAATGCTTGTGTTGATATATTTTGTGGCTTAGTGAAGAAAAGAAGGCAAAAATAGGTAGCTGCCATAGTGTTAGCAACACTGAAAAGAGAAGGTTTGTGTCTGAACAATCAGTATTCTGTGGATAAGCAGCTTCACTAATTACCTTCAGTGAAGTCAGAGGTGATGTTGATTGCTGAGTAGTGTGAGGCTGATGTGCAGACAGCCGAGTGTCCAAAGCAGAAACAGTTCAAACATCCATCAGGATTCTGGGAATCCAGGTTGAAAGATCCTGGTTTGCATCTGAATCAAGAAACACAGATCAAGGCTGTGCAAGGATGTAAGACAGTAAACTCCAACATGTCATTAAATTGACTTTGAAATCAATTTTCACTAATCCATCCATCTATTTTCTAATTGCTTTATCCAGTACAGAGTCACGGGGGAGTCAGGGCCTCTCCCAGCTAGCAGTGGGAGACAGGCAGGAAATGCCCTGGTCGGGAAGCCAGTCCATTGCAGGGCAGAAACACACAAACATAGACATGCACACTCACACCAGGGCCAGTTTTTCCAGAAGCTACTGTAATTAAACTACAAGTACTGTATGCCTTTGAATTTATAAAAATTCAAATTCATTATTGAGCAAATAATTACATTAAGTACAACACATACAGTACAGTACATCTCCTTTCAATAAAAATAAATCAAATTAGTTTTTTAAACAAAACTGTAGTTTCTGTCTGTATTAAAACATGAATTATCATTCAAATGAAAATGGAACATAATGACATTGCATGAAAAGTTGTAATGGGAATGGAAAAGCCAGATGGCAAATTCTTCAAGATGACAATTAAACTCCTGTGGTATTGCATGAACTTATTTACTGGGTTGATCGAAAAACTGAGAGTTGAAATAATAAGGAAATAACAGAGAAGTCCCACAATCCCTTATGAGAAAGCCTAGGTGTTTGTAACCAGGTGTAATTAAAATAGTTTTATTTTGACGTGAATTTATTTTGGTAATCATCTACATAGAGGATACTGCCTTACACCTTTCCTTTTAAGAGCATGGAGTCTCTATGAATTGTAGGGATGGATATTAATGAGCTCATTCCAACTCCCGGTTCTTGGATGCAGGGCCATGCCAAGAAACTCCGAGTTTCAGTTTTTCTGTATATGAAGTGGAAGGACGCAGCCATAGACACTTCATCTACCCAACATGGTGCAGCTAACTCTGACCCATGAAGGGTCTGCATATACCATGTCTCCATGAAGCTAGAAACCCCTCTGAGTGTCATGGAGAGCTCGAAGGATCATGTCACTGGCACACTGATGTGTGTCTGGCACTACATTTCTGTGAGAAGTGCGTCACTTCTAGCAGTTGAAGCAGGAGAAAAAGAGAACAAAGGGATGACCTGTCACAGGAATATCCTTCCACATGAGCCTTGCAGCGGCACTGTCCGTCCTGGGAGCCGCAGAAGCCAACACTGCCTGAAGGCTGGCAGTGGCAGGGCCTGCAGGGCACAAACAAGTGGCTTCATTCGGCTGCACGGCACTCTGCTGCAGAGCCACTCTCCCTTCTTGTTGCACACAAAAACGATCAAATCACCTTGCGTTCTTTTCAACACCAGCAAATGAGTTTCTTTGTTTTTGCCTTGGTTGAATTGAATAACCTTAGAACATTAAAATAAATTAGTAAAGATAAAAAAACATCCAAGACCAAAAAAAGTGATATTAATACACAAAGAGGTACTTCTCGTCTTTGAATCCTCTGTGATGGGTGGGTATTACAATGGGTGCATATGCAGCTTATTACCTGATTGATTGTAGTTACATATTGGTATATTACAGAATCAATGTTTTACTGTGAGTCCTATTAGAAATTCTTTAATTAATTGATCTCCTACCTTCTCGTTCTGTTCCAGTGACCAAATAATTTCCATTTCTGACCTAAAGGTTGCTAGGAATCTGTCTGATAAATGAGACTCCAACATGTAGGATAGTACATCTTATTAATGAGAACGCATCACTTGTTATGAATATTCATACATGGATGTAGGATGCAAATTTGCTCCATTTTTAATATGCAGCTGCCAGATGTGCAGATTACATGGGAGTGTGGTACTACTGATAGTAAAAAAATTAGAAAACTCTCTAATTTTTATGCAGTTCAGCACTGCTGGTTGTCACCACTGTAAAAAAGAAGCAGGTCAGGTCAGTAAAATGTGCAACGGCCCCACATTAAAATAAATCACAGAACTTTATCTTCATGAGTGATATAATGACCCTTACGCCAAGAGAGATACAAGTTCTATTTCTCCATTATGCCCAGGCAACCTAATAATAGTAGTGTATGTATGGTTGAAATTATTCATTATCATGATTTTCTGTTCAAGTGATAGATGAGCCTGTCTCTTGTCTCATAATAACTTGGTTAATAACCGTCACAATTCCTAGTGGAGAGTTAGACAGCCATAAAGTTCCTTCTGTTGTTGTGGGTTCTGTATTACCTGCAGCCAGCTGCGGTGAGTGAGTGGTATCCGGGCTGACAGCTGTCACATTTCTCCCCCGCTACACTCCGTTTACAGACACAGTGCCCGTCACCTCCACACTGCAGGCTCGACGATCCTGGACAGGCGGGAGGGGACGTTTGTCTTGTGTCATTTGCAACAGAATTGGGCAAATTAGTCTGACGTTTGAAAGGCATTTTTCAGAGGAATGGAAGAGAAACTTCCAGAAAACACAAACAACTAACGAAAGAGAAGAAAGCCCACAGAAACTCCACCAGCATTCGCTAGTTCAAGGGGCATCATGGCCTGAAAAGCCCCATTACACTCTGTGATCAGGACTTAGAGCAAGATTATGAGTATAAAAGAGCACTATATGATGTATATGTAGATGTCCATGATTTCAGTTTAAATCTGCATGAACAACTTGATGACTCTGAAGTGAATTCATATTGAATAAATGAGGTAAGGATGTATTCATGACATATTCCATTACATATTCAAGGTATTTTCCTTAGTCAGAAGGGATTAATGAAAATCATTAAATTCAATCATCTAATAGCAGAAATAATACAAAAATCATGTTTTTGTTTTGGACAGGATTTCAAACCTATACTGGTGGTATTCTTGTTACATTTCACAGGGGCGGGAATTTATCATACAGTACCTATAGTATGGACAAAACAGACTTCTGTCATGTTCACTGGCAGCAACAACAATAACAAAAGAAAACACGTTAAACATCTACAGTTTTCTTTAGAATTTTTAGGGACTTTCAGAGTGTAACTGAAAAGCACTAAATGAGAGGACAGCTTGAAAAGGTATTCTTTGGCCATTTTGGTAGAGAGACGTACTGTATGCACACTGCAGAAAGAAACAAAGATCCCTCACCTAAGACGCTGCAGTTGCAGGGCAGACAGACATCCTGTGGAGAGCTCCGGTAGAAATTGTCTTTGCACTTCTCACAGTTGGGTCCGTCTGTGTTGTCCCTGCAGTTCGAACAGTGGCTTCCATGTCCCGTACGCCGGTACAGCTCCGCGTCAAAGTAGCACTCCTCTGCACGTCCACTGCAGTTACACGCTGAGCAGCACGAGACAGTCGGGGTTAATATCACCGAAGGCTTCACTTTCTGTGAGAGCATGTGTGATGCCCTGCAGATTAGAGTAATTAACTGCTGAAGCTGTAGAAGTGACTGGAATCCACTGCTGTCCCCGTGGTAAACAAGATGTCATCTCTGGATAGATTGATCACCACAACACATGGAACAGCAAGATTCATTGGTGATTGCTCCATACTGTACCTGCTGCTGGTAGATGCCAGCAGGTCATACCTGGGGCAATCATGCTACTCCTTTAATCAGTGCTGACTGACTGTGTCAAACAAGCATGTCTTCAGGGCTTCATTGTCCCAGTGCAGTATAAGAGCTGTAGGTGCAAACCAGCTCTTAAATTCAACCGATTCCAGATTGGTGGGGTATAAAATAAAAAAAAAATCATGTTGTTGTTTTCACTTTTTGTAAAGGTTACAATTCACGATAAAAGAAAGTTTGTGCACAGAAAGCTTCTTCTGCCCTGGCACAAGATATTAAAGATAGATAAGATACATAAGGTATATTAATTAAAGATATATAAGAATTTTTACTCTCACTGTGGTGAACTACTCTGACCGAAGGGCTGTAATAATAATAATAATAATAATAATAATAATAATTGCTTACACTTATATAGCGCTTTTTTGGACACTTCACTCAAAGCGCTTTACAGGTAATGGGGATTCCCTCCACCTCCACCAATGTGCAACATCCACCTGGATGATGCGACAGCAGCCATAGTGCGCCAGAACGCTCCCCACACACCAGCTATCAGTGGGGTGGAGAGCAGAGTAATGAAGCCAATTCATAGATGGGGATTATTAGGAGGCCATGATTGGTAAGGGCCAATGGGAAATTTGGCCAGGACGCCGGGGTTACACCCCTACTCTTTTCGTGAAACGCCCTGGGATTTTTAATGACCACAGAGAGTCAGGACCTCGGGTTTATGTCTCATTCGAAGGATGGTGCCTGTTTACAGTATAGTGTCCCCGTCACTATACTAGGGCATTAGGACCCACATGGACCACAGGGTGAGTGCCCCCTGCTGGCCCCACTTACACCTCTTCCAGCAGCAACCTTAGTTTTTTCCCAGAAGGTTACCCATCCAGGTACTGAACAGGCTCACACCTGCTTAGATTCAGTGGGTTGCCAGTTGTAAGCTGCAGAGTGATATGGCTGCTAAATGACCACCGGGGCAGTTTTAAAGTAAAAAATGCAATTAATGGAATGATTATGATGGTTTAAAATGGTAATCACACAAGACTGGTACTAGGCTAGTTTCCTGCATAAATGGTATTCTCTACATTCTCAATAACAACCTGTCTTAAAAATATAAGAATTATATTTGATGAAATTGTTTGTCGCTAGTACATGATTAAGATAGGAAAGCATTAATTGTTTAATAAACATTTGAATACTGTAAGGATTTGTCTGACAGCCACGCATCATGCATCTGTGATACTTTTTATGGTTTACTGCTCCATCAGTTTTACAGAACAGTGCACTTCTGCATCAGATTATTTGAAAAAGTAAAATTTCCATGATGCATCGCTGTCTGGGATATATATATATAGTGCCCACAGTGGTTTACCGACTGACACACATTCTTAGTGCCTGCGTCTGTATTGTCAGAGTGCAAGAGAACGAGGTTCATGTCTTCCATGAAACCTTCCTGGACCCTGTTCCTTCCTGGACCTTTTGGGCTGAGTGTCTTATTAATAAAAGAGTCCACAGACATGTTACCACACATGGGGAAATTCAACATCTCATACCTTGGTATTGCTTGGAAAAAACAATGAGGGATTTAGATGAAAGGGATTTATCAATAAATTTTTACAAAGGTAGATTATAAAATGTGTAGTCTCCACTCCAGATTAAGATTCAGATCACACCATCGCACCAAGGTTTTCCCTCATAATAGCATAAGATTATGTGAAATCACCCGTTTTGTCAGGACTTCAGTTGCGTAATGGAAGATTATTTTTAATAGCTTTCTGTGCCCATCATCTTTCCATTTTTTGTAAGTTGCAGTATAAAACTATGATAAAATATTGACTTTTTTCATGAAACTAATTTTATTTAATTCCAGTGGAAAGTCTAACCTCTGGCTTTTCTCCAGTTTCCCAAAAGGCCTCTTTATCTCAGTATGAGATGCAACAAAACCAGGCTGAGCATATCAAAATACTGTACATTTCCAAGCTTCAGATCTTAATGATACCCATTATAACTTTGATAAGAAAAACAGTTACAGTAATTATGCTTGATGACAGAAGAGTGTACCACACGTCACTCTTTTTCTTGACATCCAGGAGGACAAAACACCTGACCGGTGCCCGACCAACAAGGAGGAGTCAATGCTAACTTAAAAACATTTAGTCAATATCCAGGATCCAAATCCCAATCTTCTTTATTAAAGCTATACATGCAGAAATATAGATGTTTTTGGTGCTCAGTTATCATTTTTGTCTAAGTTTACCTACTGCATATCTGTGTCTCAGGATGAACATAGTACTTTTTTGCGTAAAAAGTTGAAATACTAGAGGGTTTGCACTGGAAAATCTCCTTTAAGAGTATATGGGAGACATAAGTAGACAGAAGTAAAATTGTACGTTTTTTTTTGTTCGGAAAATACATGCTATCTTGGCAGCCTTATAGTACTGAATTCTATAGAAGGGCAGCACAGTTATCAATGGATTTGCTTTAAATCTAAAAAGCTTGCCATGCAATTTTCTGAGTACTATACTGTAAATCTCAGGGTGGGTATTAGGAAACTTCAGCAATTTTATTTTTATTATTTTCTGTGGGAAACAATGGGAGTTTTAATTAAATGTTGGTACCTTAGCTTTGTTTTGAAAAAAGTGTTTAGTTTGGCAGATTGTGTTAGGAGCTGACTGTTTAAAACAAAATGAAAGACGCAACCATAAACGTGCACACATGTTGTCTCAGATCCACTCCTGGGGGGCTACAGTGTCTCCATGCTTTTGTTCCACCTCTGCTCTTAATGGCATAGTTGGTTATCATCACCTTAATTTACCTGTTTCACACCTTTTTTCAAAGGTGTTCAGCTGTTTATGATCTAAAGGGACCTAGCAGACTGGCTGGAATCTACTGTAGTTCTCAAGGACTGAAGAATCTGTGCAAGGTTCACCAACTGAAGTGTGCGCCAATGTCTTAGATATGTATGGAAAGAATGCAGTTCATCTGGCTTTCAAAATTAAATTTAGCTTTTTTCTTTGTCTATTTTTTTATTTTAAACACACACACAAACACACAGCTGGGGCTGCACTCTCTCCAGAACACGTTTGCCCAGGACAGTGAATTATGACGGCTGACAGTCAACAGACTGTGGCTCCGCTATGGGTACAGTATACAGCCACAGCCTTTATTCCTGTCAGACTGAGCTCCTCTCCGGTTGTGCCAGTGGACAGTTGTACTTACGGAGACACTCATTAGCTGAGTCAGCCGTTGCCCTTGCCCAGGGTCTGTCATGGTAAAACGGCTGACATCTCTCGCAGTCAGGACCCGCGGTGTTGTGCTGACAGTCACACACGAGCCTCCCCGCTTCATTCCTCACACATTCACTTGCATGGCCATTGCATTTGCACCTAGGAAAGAGGAAAGTAAAGGGAAGTGGAGCATGCACACTGTTTCGGCTATAGGACTGTCACTTTCTATTATACATGACAGGCATGAACGTTTCTCTTAGTAAAGTTGGTTCTTTCGTACAGTACATACCAGTGGGTCAGCACTTAATAAAAACTTCGAGTGGCAGTCTCATGCTGATCTGTTGGTATACACAGTATTATTTGTCTTTGTGTGCTGTTGAAGGGAATCAGGCATATTGTACAATACCTGTGGTCAAAGTTATTTTTAGGGAAGTCTAATTTGGTGAAAGAGGGCAAAAGCAAAGCACTGGTACATCAACCTCTCAGCACAAACGACTGAGAGCTGTTTAGGAGTTATCCTGGAGTAATCTTGTTTTTTATCTTTACATTTTGCTATTTTATTATTCACGGTGGGGCTATGTTAAATAAGCAGACTGTATTTACGGGCGATTTGGGGGAAATGGATTTGATAAAACAGTGCAGATGTGGATAGTATAAGGCAAGTATAACAGGGTAATAAAATTGTTTTAGAACTACACATAGCCAGTCCTTGGTGTTCCCCGGATGTTTCTGAGGTTTTATATCTCAATGAAGTTATGATAACCACATGAGCCATATTGAAAATATAAGAGACTCCTACATCAGATGTTTAGTGATGCCAGATGTCTCCTCCAGACAACAGCTGCTTAAGGACTAACCAAAGGGCACATTAAAAAACAGGAAAGAATATAGAGATATCGATCTCTTATGGAAAGCTGGAAGCCTAATGTTTCTAGGAAGACGATGTGAAATGCTAAAGTCAATTTTTTTTATTTTCTAGCATTTTGTGGAAAAAAAGTAATTGAACAGACATTGAACAAACTGTGCATGACTCACTCTGTTTTTAAAGGCTACTATGGCAGAGGTAAAGACATTTTTTCAATAAAAAAAGTCTACAAGCCGTGAAAATATGCTTTTGTTAAGAAAGTCTGCATTCAAAATAAACAGGATATGAAGATGCAGGAAATACTCTGCTTCTTTATGGTCTGTCCCATGTGATTGAATCATATAGAGTTTTACAAACAGAGGATTTCTGCTGTTTACAGCCACGAATATGCTTAAGCAAGGTTACAAATATTGGATGCAAATACCAATTAGAACACTAATAAGAGTCTTATAATGTGCCTGAAAACAATTTTCCTTATCGACACAGTTTATTCTACTTATGGTAAGCAGTCCTTGGAAAATTCAATCAAATAAATCCGGTACATATTACTGCAACCAGTAACTAAATGTCACAAAAAGTGGTACCCACTTTATCCTGGTGTAAATGTCACCATATATGACGGAATTAGCAGTTGATGGAATGGGAAAGTACTTCTTTATTGCTCTTGAAAGGAGAGACTCATTTATATCTGATCAAAACTTTAAAAGCAAGAGAAAAATCAAAATGCGTTGCATTGTACAGTATATACTTAGGCTGCAATATACAGTATAAAGGTGTAATAAGTGGAAAGTTACTGTATTTAAATTTCATTTAGAAGTTATAAAATAATGTATATTTTGTGTTTGCATTTTGCCGTGCAGATAAACTTTAGATTAAGGGTTGCAAATGTCCTTGTAAACCTTCCTTGTAAACTGGTGATTACTAACAGAATATAATCAGTGAACCCTGAACATATAATCACTTCCACTCATCTTTTAGTGGGAGGATAATACTTACTGTATTATATGCATTACCTATCACTACTTGAACAAAATCAGGTATGAGACTAACATGGAAGCAATCTCACACAGAGGGCCATACAGATATTTTATCATGATAGACAGCATACACATGAGTTGATCTGCGGTATATATCCAGAATGTGTTTACCTGCCACCCACTGAAAAATCCGAAATGGCATAATAATAGGATCTGAGAACCTTTGGGTCCTTGAAGAATTCATCCCCAAAGGTGTTGAGTCTGTCCAAGGAAATGAGAAGGTCAGTGGCTGTCACCCACTCCTGGAGACACACAAACAGAAAAAGAGGATCTTATCAAGCACCTCCAGTACAAACACTGGCAATGTCAAAGAGTGGTTCTCATAAAAAAGGCAAACATGGAAAACAATTTAGAAATGACCACCAATTGTATTAGACAGGATGCTGAAGGGTATTCCTAGCAAATGTTTGGACTGGATTTGCATCGCTGAAGTAGCCAGAGGGCTATAACCACTTACTTTAGTCTTGGTTTTGGAGGTTGGACATTCTAGATTCCGGTTTTTCTTGTGGGCAAACTGTGGGGCAAGTTCCCATCTAATTAATTTCATGTGGAGTGGACAGTATGCCCACAGAGAAAACAAAGACCATTATAGAAGGATTCTAGATTGGAGTATAAGAATTCGCACTTCGCGCTGTTTGTTATTTGAGTGAGCAAACCTGGAACCAGAATAATCTGCTGGGTGGAAAGGCGACTGGGCATTCAGCGTCCAACCAATCGTAACTGTGTAGGATTTACAGTAACAATTCACTGGGGACAGTTCATCCTCAGAGTGGTACAGCCCAGTGAACAGTGAAAGGGTAATAAACATGAATGAAGAATCCCTCAGAAAGACTGCTTTCACAAGTAGAAGAGCACAAGAGGAATTTATCAACCACAAATTCAAAAGTGATGTTGTGATCAGGGGGATTTGCTCACTAAAGGCCTCCAGTAAATGCTTTTGTTTTCATCCGAACTATAAGAGTACATTCCAGCTGTGTTTTCCTTATCTCTTTACTGCCTTGTTAAAGGATTGAAAATGTAACTTGGATTTAAACTTGACAGTCCTAGCCTGTATTCCCAGTAAAATTGCTCACAGGATGAATTGGCAACATGCTTCTTGACATAGCCCTCCCTGTTAATGGTGCCCTTGGCTGCAGTTTGCCTGTGGGATCCTTGGATTTAGATTTCAATGAACAGTCATTCTTCATTCATTGCTCTGGGTGAACTCCAGGCAACTGTTCTGTGACTTTGACACAGTGATTAGAAAATACTGTCAATAATCTGTGACAGGGACAAACACCACCCAGGTAGTTGTGCATAATATTTGATTTTTTTCTGCGGAATCAAATACTAAGCTTGTCTCTTTCTATCATTTGTAAAGCAACTTGAGTAAATGGACATCAGTGAGTTTAAAGAGCCATCTATATATTTCAGCTTCAATGTAATTATTCCACCATGAACGAGAATGACAAATGAATGCAGTTCCTTTGTACAACCTGTTTCCATTGGTCTTCATGTGAGAGTTTCAGCAGAACCGGGAATGCCGGACAGGTTCTTTGCTGGTCTGATCATTTCAACACAGCAATCAGGAATCGTGTCTATTACAAATCAAAGAGGCTTGTAGTTCCCTACCTTTAGGAGAAATGAAATGTTACAGGCAGGAAGCCCTGAGCTCAGTTGAATCATCTGATGGATTTTTATTTTGAACGTTCAGAGGCTTTGGCAGTTTAGAAGTGCAAAGCCAGGAAAATCTGTGTCCCTCCTTCAAATGTCTTATTGATGTTTGGGTTCTGTTATTTAAATTCCGTAAACTAACTCAAAACCTTGATATGATTTTTATGAACTAGGATTTCCCCAAGGAGTAATAGGAACTCGGGCTCAAACCTGTTCTGCCTGGTGGCTATTCTGTGAATACAATGAGCAGAACAGTATTGAGACGAAAATGAACTATTCTTCAAGATTGTAGTAAAACGTTTTGAGTGATACTGTACCTACATAGTATATCTGCTATCACCACTTGACATACTTTACTGAGTCTTTCAATGTTTCCTGATGCTTCCAATGGGCAACTTATTCATTTTGCCTTTTAACATGTTAATAAAATTCATTATGTATTACCCCCTAGCGGTGCTTTAAAACAGACTCTTCTGATGAAGAGACAGTAATTCACATTCCAAAGCTGATGTATAACATTTCAGCGTTTTTCTACCACCTAGAATATGAGGAATGTTTCATTTTTATACAAAATGCAAGCATTGATTTGGGTGGCTCAGTGGTTATTGCTTGGGACATGGGTTTGATTCTGGACTGGATTGCGTTGTGTGCATTTTGCGTGTTCACTTCATGTTTTCATGGGGTTTTGCCAGACAGCCTGGGGTCCTCCCACATTCCAAAGATTGGGTTGGTTAATGGACATTTCTAAATTGTCACTGTGTGGGCACCTTGGACCTATGCTTTCTGTGTTCCTCACCAGGACAAAAGTAATGGTAATGGACAAATATGGTGTTTTCTTATTTTTGCAAGATATTCTTTATTTAAGTCTGTGCAGTCTAATCACAGATACTTTGCAAACAAAACTGTTGTTGGCTACTGTTTGCTAGTGCTACTAAATGTGAAAAAAGACCATTTTCAAAAATTGCACTGGATAGCCAGCATTAGAAGGTTAATTGAGGGTCAAATTATTGACGACAGTATGTGAAAACCGAGGCAAGAGCTATGAACTGAAAAGAAAACAGCACTCCAGGGTATGTAACTGCATTCGTGCAAAGTATTTCCCATTTCATAAAGCAATTTAGCAATTTGGACATTGTATATTGTTGGGGGAAAACTGTGCTTCTAAAGCTGTTTTGTCACACTAAAAGAAAAATTTTATGATATACAATAGAAAAGTAATCTTTAGCCAAAGGACCTTACTGGAACATAGAGAAGGTATTTCATCAGATGTTTTGTTCTTCCATGTTTCAATCCTTTCAAGTGGTCATTCCAGTGTCTTTGTTCTGAATGAACTTCAGCTCTGAATGTGTTATTACAGAAACTACAACTCAAAGGCAATGCATTGCTTCTATACAGCTGTAAACTGTCCTATTTACTTATGCATGTTAAATAACCTATTACAGTGATTCTGGAAAACTCCTATGCCCACACACTTGAAAAGGGTATTTTCCATTGAGAAATGCCAATGTGACATTTTCTAAAACTAGAAAACTAGGAAACATTTCAAGTTCAAGGAACGCAGTGTGTCACCGAACATGTCTTGTTAGAAGTAACATTGCTCTTCAGCACAAAGACCTCAGCTCTGTTGACCCCAATAAAACCACTCCATGGGCATTTCTAAGCCATAACTGAAGAGCTTTCAGGGCATACACTACCTTGAGACTGCTGCAAAGCAGATGGGAATTCACATCTAGAAATCTGGCAAGGCTAGGATTACCGACCATTGTTTATTTAATGATTAGGACACACGAAAAGTCCCCGGGGGTCCCCCAGATGTAGGAGAACATACTGCATTGTGGAGTACCCCTTAATCACCACATATTGCATGAGCTGGTGAGAATATAATTCACCTGCATTTAGATGATTTGAAATTCTGCCCTTAAGGGCTCATCCTTTACAAAGAGCTGCAGAAGTGCAGTCAAAACACAGACAGGAAGATCAGACAAGATTTCGAGGCTCCAGGCGAGCATGTCATCCTGACTGGGAGAGAGTGGGCCTGTCAACTTGAACAACCTGTGGTACTGTGACAGCTTAGTTTCTAGAACACAAATATACGATAGAGTGCAAATAAGGGCTCCTTCCCCTACAATACGCCAAGGGACTTTTCTCGTGCCCCATAAATCCTCCTTGAGTAGCTGCTATCGAATTCAGGCCAGCTCAGAATCCTGCAGAGGTAAATTATACTGCTGTCCCCAGAAGAATAGCCTTGATCGATGATGATAAAGAATGCCATTACATCTCTTAATTTGAACATCTTGTCTCACATGTTGGGATCATAATTCTGACTGTATATCTGCTAACTAATCAGCAACATAATAACTCCTTTTCAATTATTATTAAAATTCCAGCCTGACTCTCTTTTTATTCACTTCCATCTTCTGACAGGGGTCTAATTTACCACAAAGCTCGCCTGCACTACCCCAAAAATGTTTTTAATGGATGACTGCACAAATTAGATTTGAATTCACAGAACACTTTTCATCACCTCTGTATTTTAAAAGCATTTTACACACTTGGTACAACAGAATCGCTTAAGCATGCACAGCCTGTGCCGAGGGATGACTTAGTGGCAGTTAACTTCAAAGAGCTGGGCACTGTCTTGCAGAGCGCGAGTTTGTTATTTTCCACTTGGAAAGTGATTCACACTCTTCTCTGATTCGTTCAAAAGAGATAAACTGAGGAACATACAGAAAAAACACACCCTTTTATAACTTTGTTTATAAAAAATATTGAAAGCACTTAAGCAACATGCCTTATTCATAGATGTTTCTTGTATTTATTAATTGGTGGATTTCATACAGAGCATTCAAGATTAAGGATTCAATCTGAAGGTAGAATTTACCTTTGTGTCCTTACAAAGGAAGATCTACTTTAATTAATCAGTAAACGGCAGCAAGTAAGATGAAGAACTCAGAGCATTTGTTTATCTGATGTCTAATTCTTGGATAGTTGCGATTAGAAATCTTAAATGTTTTTAAGTTTAATGTTTTATGTATCCAAGTACTTTAAAAAAACAGTGGCCTTAATACAGAAATCTTTATTAATTTGAGAACACCATGCACAAAAGAGAGCTGATTCTAACCCAACAGAATCTGATAGGTTAGCCTTCTGCCACATGTGAAGCTCTGATAAATAACAGATAGCTATACCTCAGGCTCTGAAATTCTGTGAGAAAAGGAGATAATTCCACTGTGTTTCATTTTAATACCACAGAGTACAACTGCGGATTAAAACAGGCATAAAAGAATTAAAAATAGATAAAATTCAAAGTAAAAAAAACTGTATTAAATATGCATGTTCTGTATGAATTATATACTGAATGCATATGAATGTATTTGAGATGTGAGTAGAGTTCATTTTTCTGGTCTGCCAACATTTCTTATGCTGAGCTTGAGTAATATTCCATGAAAATGTTTTATACGCGGTCCATAATAAAATTAAAATCAGAATAAATAGTCATTTAAAAAAGGTATATATTAGTTTCGGAAGAAAGTATGTCACTCTCTCTGAATCATGAATATTCACTACTTCATTGTAATGAATTACTTGT